ATATGTCCAAAAAAATCAATTTTGGCTGGAAAGTAGGAGTGATGGGTGAAAAGGTCGATAACCTTTTTGTTTTGAAACATGAGATTTCCACCAAATTTATTAAAAAAGAAGCTATTAACTTAAACATTCTCCATCCATTGACCACTTTTTTTTTTTTTTTTTTTTTTTTTTTTTTTTTTTAAATTGGAATAATTTACCCTAATTCCACTTTCATTGTTAATACATTGTAATTTTATTATTTTTCCTATCTAGTCATTTTACGTAAAAAAAACTAAGCATGTTTGTTTTTGAGGTTTATGATTTTTTTTTTTTTAATTATTGTTCAAAGTAAAATGACAATCTTTTTGGGACCAAAATTACAAACAGGGACCAGAAATGTTACGCGTCAAATTCATCAGAGACCAAAAGTGTATGTTACTCTTCTTTTTTAAGTTTGCGTGCTTTAAATTCTTCTGATAAGTTTTGCCTTTTTATATCCAGATAAAACATGCGATGTGTACAGATAGAAATGTTTTATTTTTGTTTTTAAGGTGATCCACCGTATTAACCTCGGCTTCCAATGTTTTATTTTTGTTTTTAAGGGAACATGTTAGCAACATCTTTGTGAGGCTGATGCCAAGTTAGCTCAAGGCACGACAAGTACATTCTCGACTATATAGCACAATAAAGTCGATTGGGTTGGATCACCTTTGTCTTATTTGTTTATTGAATTACATTCCATAAGTTAGGTTTAGATTTTTTATTTTCTTCTCTTCGATCTAAACTTATTTCTTTTTCTCTTTCTTGGGGACAATAAAGGTCTAAGTTGGGGAGATTTGTTAGGTACATTTTATGCACCATTTTAGCATGTTTAATTCTGTCATTTCGTTGCATCCAACTTCCTAATTCTTGTATTTAGTTAACTATTTGGGAATTTGCATGTTTTATTTGGAATGTCTGGTACTTCACTATTTATTTATTTTGTAGGCATTATAGATCTTGAAGCATTGGAGCATAAAAAGAAGATGGATTGGTCGTGTCGTGGAAGGAAACTTGAAGACATAACCTGAGTCGTTACATATTTGAGCATCATCTAGCAAAAAAAAAAAACATTCAAAACTCACGGTCCTGGGCGTGCGTTTTTACGATGGGTAGTTACGACTTTTGCTAAAATGTAGGTTTTTGGCTCATTATTGAAGACAGGTGCTTTTGGGAGCAACTTCTGGCAATTTTGAGTGGTATTTGAAGACTACTAATCATTGCAAACACTTTTGATTTCCATTTATAAGCATTAAACCATTCAGTTTTATCTCTTTGTTTGATTTGTTTTTAGCATGTGTAACCCTAATTTCTAGTTCTTGTTTATAGCATGTTGATTGTTTGACTTAAAGCATGTAACTTGATGTTTGATTACATGATTCTATTTTAGCGATTATGTTCTTGTTTAAACTAGAATCTTTGAATTTGATTTATGTTTGATTGGCCATTTATATGACTTAAATTCTTGTGTAGGTTTATAAAACTAGTAATTGGTAACAAACAATAGGTTTTCTTATTGTATAACTAATAAATTCTAGTTCTTGTTTATAGTGTGTTGATTGTTTGACTTAAAGCATGTAACGTAATGTAATTATTCAATACAATCTATGAGCATGTTAGTATCTTTCAGTACCAACTTAGAATAGCAATCATGAATTATATCAAGGCATAATCAGGTTAAATGACAACATATAGAAACAAAAATAGAATTATTTCAACAATTTGTTTACAAATCTATTTATTTTTCAGTATGTTCTTAAAGTAGGTTGTTATTTCCATTAGTTAACATTTTTCAAACAAAATCCCCCTTTTGTAACTAAAGTACATTGTGTAAAGAGGTATAATTTTTTGTCTCGTGTCTCTAAGGATCGACCCTACTTGTCTTGTATTATTTTTTGTAGTGCATTATAGAATTGTATTTGGAGTCTATTGTGTCGCTATTATTTGTTGGGTTTGACATCCGTAACAAATATTTTGATAACATGTTTGAAAATTTTTGAAATATGGATCTTTACTTTTGAATTGGGGAATTTGATAAGGGGTAGCGTTATCCTGATAGATTTTTATCCATACTTTCGATGCTTTCACATTACACACGTTAGTATCAAAACCATCAATTCAAAAGTAAAGCATCTATATTTCAAAATATTTCAAACATGTTATCAAAACATTCATTCTTCCAAAACGTTCTTTGCTTTCAAGACATTCCTTTCAAAATTAAGTATCTAACAATTTCATTTCAAAATGTTTCGTATATCAAAGCATTAGTATTTTATTATCATGAAATCATTTTGTCATGTACCCTAAATTGGGAAAATGCCAACACATACTTACCTAGTCACCTAATGTTGGATTAGGTATCTAAGCCCATAATTATAATTGATATGTACTTGAATTGATAGTAGCACAGTCTTTTTAGGTTGCCTTCATACTAGCAACTAGACAATATGACCTATTAAGAAAGAGGAAGACTTTATTATTTGGAATAATAAATTAATATAGAAAAATCATTTGTTAATGTATTATAAAAATAATATATTAATTATAAATCATGTTGTTTAATTGATATTTAATCATAAATTAATTTGGAACTAATTTTCGGATTAAAGGAATTAATTAAAAATATAAGGGCCATTTAGTAATTAATTAATAGTTGTGGTTTTAGGCTCTTTGACCATCCTAGAAGGGATGGAAGAAAACTTCTAGGGAGGACCTAGAATTTTCGTCCATGGCCTTAGGGATGGAAAGTCCATTGGTTGCTTAGGCCTTAAGCTGGAAATTAGGGTTTCCTCCAGCAAACCCTAGCTTTGGCTCTAAGCAACCTCAACTATAAAAAGCGCCTTTGACCTATTGATTTCATCCTATGCTTCCAAAACCCTAAGAATAGCCAAATTCTAGAGCTTCCTCCTCTTCTCTCCTCTCAACCTCTTGCTTAGTGTGTTTGTGAGCCATTAGAGGTGTTACATTTGTGACACTTGTTCTCGAAGTTCAAGATCTTTAAGGAAACCATTGTTTTTACCATATAACAATAAAGGTATGTATTCTAACCCTTGGTTTGTCAATTTCGAAAATTGTAGTTGACTCCTAGGGTTTCTTGTTTTGTGTTCATTGCGTGTATGCCTAATAAACAAAACATAGATCCAACAAATTAAGGTTGCATGCACACATAGGATTATTTTCTATGCTCAAACCCCATCAGTGGTATTAGAGCACCAATGTGGTTTGTTACTCCTTTCATTGCATATAACTTGGGATACATTGCATAAAAAAGATATATAAGACAATAATGTCTCTTGAGATACATGGGTTTGTGACCCAAAACATTTATCACATTTTTATTAAATACATTTCAGTATGCAAAAAGATTTCAAATATACATTTTCCACATTCAATTCCCTTCTATCATTAAGGGCTAATTTTGGTATTGAACCATTGTCATTTTTATCCTTAGGGTCTAGCAATAACAACAAGTCTATACCAAGGTGAAAAGAACATAACCACTTCACCCTGACATCATATTTGTTAGGTAATCTATCTTGCGAAGGGGTAGCGTCATCCCAATAGATTTCTATATATCTCGTTACACAGATATAGATTACCTAATGGACTTGGTGGTATTGCTAGTCCCTAAGTATAAGACTTGGTGGTATATCATCTCGTTTCAATATGAAAGACCTCGGGGAGGATGAAGTGATTTTTCGTACAAGAGTCAAATTAACCCAATACAATTAAATAATATTGGTAATATAACTCACCAACGTTTGGAAGGTATTATCGATATTTTCCCCCATATTACCGAATTGGTGTTGGATAAAAATGGGCAACTCATTTTCTAGGTATTCTTAAGGAGTTGGATGGAAAATCCCTAATTATTTATGGGCAACTCATTTTCGTGCTGAAATTTTGTGTTATGAAAAAGCAATATGACTCGCTTTACCCAATGGAAAAGCCCTAATTATTTACGGGGATAAGTCCGGTCAAAACCTCAGAATCATCTCATGTATGAAAGCACATAAGTACCTTCACAAGAACTACTACTCTTTTATTAGCCCACATCGTGGATAAAAAGAGCAAAGGGAAAGAGATCAAGGATATACCTCAGGTGTGTAATTATCCTAATGTATTCCCTGAAGATCTACCTGGATTGCCACTAGTTTGACAAGTTGAATTCCGAATCGACTTGGTCCTAAGAGCAGCACCGGTGGCAAAATCTCCTTATAGGTTGGCACCGTCTGAAACGCAAGAACTCTCTAGCCAACTACAAGAACTTCTTGACAAGGGTTTTATTAGACCAAGCTTCTCACCCTGGGGAACACCAATTATGTTTGTTAAGAAGAAGGATGGATCCTTCCGGATGTGCATCGACTATCGGGAGCTAAATAAGCTGACCATCAAGAACCGATATCCACTCCCAAGAATCGATGATCTATTTGATCAACTGCAAGGGTCCAATTACTTCTCGAAGATTGAATTAAGGTCAGGATACCATCAACTTCAACTCCTAGCTGAAGACATTCCAAATACGGCATTTAGAACTCGCTACGGTCACTATGAATTCCTGGTTATGCTATTTGGATTGACCAATCCCCCAGCAGTTTTCATGGGTCTCATGAACCGTGTTTTCAAACCCTACTTGGACAAATTTGTGATTGTATTCATCGATGATATATTGATATACTAAGAAACCAAGGAAGAACACGAGCAACACCTACAACTAATCCTGAAACTGCTATGAAAGGAAAAGTTGTACGCCAAATTCTCTAAATGTGAATTTTGGATTAGAGAAGTAAACTTTTTAGGGCATGTGGTCAGCAAAAAATGAATTTTTGTCGATCATATCAAGACAGAGGCAATCAAGAATTGGGGAGCACCTAAGATACCAACGAAGGTGCGTCGATTCCTTGGACTTGCAGGCTACTATCAGAGATTCATAGAAAACTCTCCAAAATAGCCAAGCCACTAATCTTCCGATCTAAGCTCCA